TCGGCGTCAAACAGAGTGGCACTTGTAAAAGTTGTAGGTGTTTTATTATTTTTGGGTCGAACTCTCTTCATTTTTATTCGAAGTTTTACAGAGTTCAAGGAATAATGCGAGCATGCGCAATTTAAATCAACCAGACATGGAAATAAGTTGCCACTTATTCTCTCTCACTGTTAAGGATCAAGAAATAATTATTTTATTTTACGAACGAATTTCCTCCTATAAAAGTGAACAGAGCCTCACGAAGTAATGTATGATTTAAAACTTCTCATTTTCGAATAAGCCATGAAAAAAATAATTGCTTTATCGGTGTCGTCGCCGAAAAAGTCGCGTATCTGCATTCAATTTCTTCTTGAATCCCTGCAAAAGCTTATTACCTAGTTCATAAGCTTCTGATCGCAGTCATAGCTTCTCTGATATAAGTGAGTAGATGGTGTTAAAAAGAACAAACACGACGAATATTAAAATCTTTGCTGATTCGATTGCGTTAATCAACCTTTAAGATATTCAACGTCTGCCATGTCAGATATCGACGATTTAGAAGCAGCCATTTTATTGATGTGCCCCGCATTCCGGCGATTTCCTTCGCTCACTGCTTCGAATTGCCAGAAAGGTCAGCTGATTGGGTGATTTCAGCACACGTAAAATTGGCGTATTAAGTCACGCAATACCATCCATTTCATCCGTGCTAAGATTAGCACGAATGAAGATTAGGATGAAGATTATCTGCGTGAACCCCAAACAGAACTCTTTTTATTTAGAGAGGTTGTCGTTGAGCCGATGGCAGCGTCGTCATACATTTCCGTCTCAAGCGCAAACACAGGAAAACTTGAGTGACCAATTGACCATATCGCTTTTGTTTTGTATCTGATTGGTTGAGAATTGAGGTGGTGCAAATCCGTCCAAAACATGGCCTCCTGCTTGAAAATACCAAGCACTGACTTGTATGCGTGATGATCCCTTTAAAAGTTAGGAGAACATCGCTTCTCGGTTCCATACCCCCCCCCCCAAAAAAAAAAAGAACAGGTAGGTGACACGCGGAAGTGAATCTACATAGTTGACGAAAAAACTCATAAACACGATGGATATCCAGATATTGAAAGTTGCCTGAGCAATTTTGATTGCCTTCTTATAAGCCAGAATAATGATGTCTTGGTGTTCAAAGTAAAAATTTGTTCGATGCATCAGACTATTTTAATAAACACACTGTCTGAGAACATCATAAAAATACAGTACAGAAAAAACATTTCACATAATTCACAAACTATCTTAATGTCTTTACTATTTATAAAGGCATTTGTAAAAGCGAAAGAATAGTTTGGCTCGCTGAAATAATACTAAATTTAATACTTCACCGACTTTACTGTCTTAGATTTTTTATGATATTTTATGATATAAAAGTCACCCTAGAAAAATTCATCCATTGTTTACCTTCAAGGTAAGGTAAAGCATATCTTTACGTAGTGACTGGTTTTGAATTTGTATCGTTTTTTCTGTGTTTCAAAATTTTAATCGTTCTTCTAAAATGTCCTTTTCTAAGAATTTGCATTTACATGAATTTATCTGAAGACTTCATTTACTTCAATCGGGTATATCCATCTCGGCGATAATCTCAACTCGGATTCGTTTCCAGTCGTTCCCCTTGAATTTTTTATTATTTCCCCAAACCAAAATTGCCAATCAGGCGAAAATTAATATTATTTCAACTAATACTTACATCACGCACCTCGACTAAAGAAGAAAACTTTATACTCCCAGTCACAAACTCGTTCACTGATTAGTATGCGTGATGGTCGCTTTGCAAGTTGGGAGAACATCGTTTCTCGGTTCCAGATCTCCCCACCTTGAAAAAAGAGAAAACTGACTCACGATAGTGAATCTACATGTACCGTTGCACTTATGTCCTCTTATTGCAGATATGTCCTCTGACGTAATGTGATACAGTGGCCAATCATATCCTGCGATCTATCGAGCGACACGCGGCTTGGGACTGGTTAAGAGACTCCGTTGTGGTTATGTCTTCAAGCAAAAGTACTCATTCAAGGGGATCGGGATAAGTGGAAAATTTGACCAGTATTTTCCGGTAACTGATCTGAGGAAAACATGCTGTTTGCATGATCACTGCGAACCGGATCATTGGCCTCTCATATTGCTTTCCTTGAAGTTCTATCGTTCGTTGACGCAGAGTGATCGCATCGTTTTTATAACCTAAACATGGAAGAACAATTTGCTGCGCGTGAATAACAAAGCGACTTTCGACCAAAGGATGCGTTATTGTTCACGTTTTATTTGCAGCCTTGCTTTATTTACAATCTTCATTGCTCGACTTGCGACGTCAATGACAACATTTTAGCCACAAGCTAAGACAAAAGCACAATGTGGCGTCATATCACAATTGCTTTATTTTCTTTGATAGTTGAAGATCATAGATTATGGTTCGTCGACATAAAATTATATATTTTTGACACTTCACCTGATCTGCCGGAGGTGAGATCGACTGAGAAGTCCAAGTTGTGATTATTTGTCTGCGTCACGAAGTCTTCCTTCAATCACAGAAGTTTGGCCTTCAGTTGTTTATTTTGAGCACTGTTGGTTTTTGCCGTATCGCACTAAGCCCTCCGTTAAAAAAATTGAAGTAGTAGATTGTGATTTTATTGCGGTTCCGCTGATTTTAGCTGTTTTTTTTTAGTACTGTTTCTAAACTATTGTAGGATTTATTGCACTTTTGGGTGGATTTGTCCTATTTTACCCTGTTTATGACAAATTCACACAATGATTAAATCGAAAATGGGGCTAAAGGTGGCTATGGCAAGTCAATAGGATAGAATCCACCTGAAGGATGAATTTCACAGAATTTATCCCGTTTTTCTAGAATTCATTGGAAAAAAAATGGAAAATCGGGTTGAAGATTGGATATGGAAACTTGAGATCTATTCCATTTGGAGAATAACTTTTCAGATTTTATCCTGTTTTTTGTCAAATTAACTGAAAAAAATGGAAAATCGGAATGAAAATAGCATATGGGAACTTCGGGTATTATTAACTTGTAGCATGAATGCTCAGAATTTACCCCGTTTTTCTCGAATTCACTTATCAAATGGAAAATCGGGGTAAAGATGGCATATGGGAACTTAGCATATTGCTATCACTTGCGGGATGAGTTCGCAGAATTTACCTCGTTTTTCTAGAATTCATTAAAAAAAAAATGGAAAATCGGGTTGAAGATAGCATGTGGGAACTTAGGGTACTATTCACTTGTAGTATGAATGCTCAGAATTTACTCCGTTTTTCTCGAATTCATTGATCAAATGGAAAATCGGGGTAAAGATGGCATATGGGAACTTAGCGTATTGCTATCACTTGCGGGATGAATTCGCAGAATTTATCCCGTTTATCTAGAATTCGATGAGAAAAAAGCATTGAAAATCGGGTTGAAGATTGGATATGACAACCTAGGATCTATTCCATTTGAAGGATGAATTCTCAGATTTTACCCCGTTATTCTATAGAATTTTCAGAAAAAAATGGGAAATCGGGGTAAAGATAGCATACGGGAACTTCGGGTATTATCCACAATTTACCTCTTTTTTTTTCTAAAATTCACTGATCAAATGGAAAATTGGGGTGAAGATGGCATATGGAAACTTACGGTATTAGCTACTTGCGGGCCAAATTCTCAAAATTTACCCCGTAATTCTAGAATTAATTGAAAAAAAAGAAAAAAATGCAAAATCGGATTAAAGATTGGATTTGGCAACCTAGGATTTATTCCACTTGAAGGACGAATTCTCAGAATTCATCCCGCTTTTCTAGAATTCATTGAGAAAAGAAACTTTTTTTAATATTTGTAATTTTTCCTCTTTTTTTCATTTTTAAGTAAGACTAGCGAGCCGCACAATGAAACACTTCTTGTAGTTGTAAGCTCCTCGTTTATTTCCGACGCGTTTCGTGTCTAATTAAGACTTCTTTAGAGAATGACTACAATTAACGGGGAACAGTATATTACATAGCACGTTGGTGTGCCTAAGTTTTTAATTTCCATGGAAGTTTATAATAACTGAAAGCGGGCGTTATAAAAAACTTCTAATTACATATCAAGTTATTGTGCGTTGCTTTATTTTGGGGGCTAACGATTAGCGCTAATCGTAGAATTTATCGCTGAAAAAAGAAATGGAAAATTGGGGTAAAGATGGCATATGGGAACTTAAGGTGTTATCTACTTGTAGCATGTTCTCTCAGAATTTACCCCGTTTTGCTAGCATTTATTGAAAAAAAATGGAAGGCAAGTCAGTAGGATAAATTCCACTTGGAGGATGACTTTTCAGAATGAATCCCGTTTTTCTATAATCATTGAAAAAAAATGGAAAATCGGGGTAAACTAGATTAGATGTGGCAGGTCAATAGGACATATTCCAGTTGGAGGATAATTTACTAAAATTTGCCCCGTTTTTCCATAATTCCTTGAAAAAAAATTGAAAAATCAGAGTAAAGATGGCATATGGGAACTACAGGTTTTATCCACTTGTAGCATGAATTCTCAGAGTTTACCCTGTTTTTCTGGAATTAATTCACTAAAAAATGGAAAATCAGGAAAGATTTGACATGACAAAGTAGGTTCCATTCCACTTGCGGGACAAATTCTAAGAAATTGTCCCGCTTCTCTAGAATTCACGAAAAAAATGGAAAAATCTGAGCAAAGATGGCATTCGGGAACTTCTGGTAATATCCACTTGTAGCATGAATTCTCAGAGTTTACCCTGTTTTTTTGGAATTAATTCGTCAAAAAATGGAAAATCGGGGCAAAGATTGGATATGACAACTTAAGATATATTCCACTAACGGTATGAATTCTCATAACTTACCCCGTTTTTCTGGAACTCATTGAAATAAAAATGGAAGATCGGGTTGAAGACTGGATATGGAAACTTAGAATGTATTCCACATACGGGATGAATTCTCAGAATTTACACCGTTTTTCTGGAATTAATCAGACTAATAAAATTACAAAAAGTCTTTCTCCTCAAGTTGCCTCCATTTCCAGTCTCTCCACATTCCATAATGATGCTGTTTTGTAATGCTCAATAAGACCCATCCATCACTATCAACTTGCTTTAAGATACTTGCCACATCAGTTCTGTGGTCTCCTTGGTCCAAAATTCCAAGGCTCTATCCCACTTGTAATGAAAAATCTTTGTCTCAACCAACCCATCCTTACCTGCCTCCAGTAATCAAAATTAACCTTTTTTTCTGTTGTCATCACTGCATGGTAACACCCTCTTGGAACATTTATCCCTTTCTCCTTCCTTAGTTTGAAAAGATATTGCTCAGTGATGGCATTAAGGCCTTGGAATACCTTCCTTCCTTCCTTCTTTCAAATAGAGAATCTGTAGGGTTGGAATCTGTGAAGAAAATCAGTCTCCATTAGAAAAGAAACTTTAATGACACTCAGCTGATGAAAGACTGTCTTTACCAAATTGGTATTAAAATGCACATTTAGCCTACTTTCATTGGGCTGGTTGGACTTCTTTGCTAATGAAGTACCACTAACCTTGAGTATCAGTATGTTAATGATAATATGCTATGAATTAACTCAAGGGGCAATGAAAACAACCTCATCCTTCTGTTAACCCAACAAACAAATTTAGCAATCAAAGAAGGAACATCAATCATTAGATGTATTTATAATAATTTCCCTTAAAATTTATTGCAGACATAAGGCACTAAAAAACATCCAAAACTGGTCATTAAAGGACACATAAAACAAAAGCAATAGTAATTATAATTGTAATAATAGTAATAATAATAATATTCCCCTAAACTACTTGGCATGTTACAAGAACATCTCTGCATAGTATAAAATAATAATAATAATGATGTTCCCCTAAACTACTTAGCATGTTACAAGAACATCTATGCATAGTTTTAATTAATAATAATTACAATAATGATAATAATAATAATAATAATAATGTAAGAGAAAACCTAAACAGAAGAAAACTATAAATCACTCACAAATTCTGCATACCTCATAAGAAGCATCTTTGGGAGGCTTGAGGAGCTCAAACAGGACAAAATCTTCATCATCTGGTTCACTGGCTATAAAAAAAAGCACACAATGCTTTCATTAGCAAATAACAAAAAACAAACAAGGTTTATAGAGATAAATAATTATGGAACAATGTAGCAAAAAACTCATCTTACAAAAACAAAGAGACAAAGAGTGAAAATGGTCAACATAATTATTAACTACCTTGAATATTGTTTTCATTTGACAGCTGTGTCTTTGTCCAGTAGTTGAATGTCTAATGGTGAAAGAGGAAAGAGGAGGGAGGAGAACAAATAAATCATCATTAATATGGTCATAATCCTCCTCAAAATCTCCTGATTCATACTCACCAGGAAAAGCAACACCAAAACCAGCAGAAACCTCTTCCATGGTTTTTCCAGTACTAAATGGACTCACTCCTGTTTTGCATTTCTTGATTCCATCTCCACCTATTCTTGCACTGCTGTCTTCACCAGCACAGTGCACAAAACAGTATCTGCCAGTTTTTCATCAACATATTTCTGGCATCCATTGAAGCTACAATCTGCTAAACAAAATATAGTATTTGTAAATAAGTACTAGCTATCTATGATTGCTACCTTTAACATACACTCACTGATTAACCCTTTATACCCTAACATCAGTAGGCATATTCTCCGTACCCTTCTCTATACATTTCCTGAACTGTTGACAAGGAGAATTTGTTTAAAAATCAAGAGCTTTATAAGTTGTTGGTCATTTCCTTGAGCAAGCTGTTCTGTCATTTTTGTTTTCCAGCTGGAGGTAACTGTTATTTCTAAGCACAATTATTTTCTGGCCTCTCTAGGCTGATTGGAGTTTTCCTGCTAAAACAGAATAATATACATAAGGACCCAGGCATGAAGTGAAGAAACCTTCCTTGGAAACCTTGGAAACAAGACAATGTTTTTAATTGCTCAGATCAAAACCAAAAAATTTTATTGTTTGTTAAAAACATGTCCATTTTAGGCCACTATTTCTCAAGTTGGCTAAAAATTATATCTGCTACAAGGGAGAGTGAGGGAGAGTGTTGACACTGATTTGATGAATAGAGTAGCTTTTACATAACGAACTATATAAACATTATATACATAGGTATGTTTTCTTGTTGATGATGTCTGTATGGTCTTGTTTGATTTTTACCTTTGCCTTGCTCAAAAATATGAAATTGTGCTCTGGACAACATTAAATTTGGGGCACAGTGCTGTGATTTCTGATACAGTATATTTAAAGCAATTACAGATGGCAAAGGAATTAATTGGTACTTCAATGATGAATGTAGAGCACAGCAATCAATGTAAACCATCATACCAAAAAACATGGTGACTGGTACATTCATCTAGAACTCTTTGCACAAGAAAATCCTGGAACCACTCAAAAAGTCAAGCACAAAAAATCGGAAAAATTTAAAATTTGCATACACAATGTTGTTGTTTTGCGAAATATTGCTTTCTACATGTGTCTTACCCTAAGAATAAAGGTAAAATTTACAGGCACCATCTTTGTCTGTAGGTGGATTGAATCTATTGGGTAAACACCAGAAAAAATAATAATATTGATACAAATAGGCTGAGGGTTTAGTATAGGTATGCTGTGGTTTAGTTTTATCCTTAGTTTATTCTTTTACTTTTAAAAGAGGCCAAATTGATAGTGATATATCATCTCACCATAACTTAGGCTAGGAGCTAAATTTTATCTTTCTCTACACAAAATGCATTTTCATTCATATCATTAACAAAACCAAAGGAAACTGATTTTTACACCAAGGACAAGCACAACAGATACCTTTCATCTGCACTTTTGTTTACTTTGCTTTGCTGCTGGTTCTCATCCATGCCTGTATGAATGATATTAAGTAAGGGTGAAAGGATTGGTATTTTCTTCACAAAGATAGTTGCAGAGAGTGTCTCCATTGATATATGGATTACCAGACACTCACAATGAATGCCAACAAGACCAAGTTCTTGCTAACGAGTGTAGGAGCAATAATCGCTAATAATGGGCAATAGTCTGTATTGAATTAAGTATTCATTTGTGCATGAATTAGTATTTATTTCATTTTAATGTTTGTAACACACAATTGAAAAAGTATGTAAAATGTAGTAACAAAATACATATCATTGTGGTATTCCTCATAATTTAGTTCAAGGGGCTTTATTCTAAATAGATCAAAAGAAAGAAAGTGGCATATGTCAGCCACTGATTTAAATAGAAAAGCACATATTATTAAGTGATGAGTAATTTTGCTGCAAATTTGTGCCCTTCTGGGTGAGCAAAGAGAATGATGACCCAACTGTTACTTGCTGCAGAGCATTAGGAGCCAGCACCCTATCGTTTATAAGAGACCAGATCTTCATCATATGTGTAAGCAGTTTGTAAGTTAACTTTCCAGGATATGTGAAGTTTAACATCGACCATACATCCCAGCTGAATTTTTGCGTAGCCACATACATTTACAATGAATACATGTCTTCCACTGTACCCATAATAGCCACCAGTGTAGACACTATGAGACTGCTACATGCAACACAATACAAATTATTGAGGCTGGAAGAAAATCACAAGTTTTTGATCATTGAGACACCGAGAGCTGTCCTGGTTTTTAATAGACGTGTAATATCTGGTGTTGCATGTCCCAAACAAAATAAAAAAGTCAGTCCTCGACACAGAAGGATTCAATGAATCCAGGTATCATGCAGCTACATGAAATCTACTGGAATTTAGCACAAAACTTGAACGCGATCTTTAAAGAATGGTTGTAATATTTAAAATTTAAAAAAAACTAGCATGAAGTGCAACGAAAACCTTACCTTATTGTACTAGCTCCAACAGAAAAGTAAGGAAAGCCATGAGGCAATGTCAAATTCTCGTCTTCCTAGGCTTTCCAACGTATGGAAGAAAATTTCCCAAATACCTCGCACTTAAAAACGCAACCAGAATCTTACTCTTTCACCAATTCGAAGCGTCCCAAAAGGTGTCAAGGATAGCCCATGAAATTCTCAAACTTCGAGCGCGGAAATTTTAACGATCTTTTTACACTTTTGCTTTGCATCCCTCCCCTAGTTGGGAAGTGACACGCAGAAGACACGATCACAACGCACTTTGATTGGAAGAAGTAAAACTGCATTCTATTGGTTATAATGTGTGAGGACATAGCCACAACGGAAGACACAACTGCAACGCTACATCTACACAACATTCGACCAAACTCAAACACTGTGAGTTAAAATGTTGGAATTCTATGTCATATTGATTATCCTGGTCATATATATATATTTCTTTGACCGATTTTGGAAACCACTTTGGCGAATATTGCGGCCTGACGAAGATCCCAAAGTCGGACTTGTGGCAAAAGATCCCCAAGCCTGTAAAACAGTTTTATCACACGTCAACTGTGGAAGTCGGGAAGGGTACAAATCGCAGTTCATATCAACAACAGCGTCTTACGATGTTGCACTGCATTATAAGGCAAAAGGAGAGGAAAAAGGCTTGACCGGATTACGAATCGCCGAGATTTACCTTGACTATTTGCCTGCGACTTGCAAATTGGAGATAGTAGACTTGACAACCGAGGAAAACCGATACAAATACCTAGGAAATGCTGTATGTAAGAATTTTGCTAAGGCGTCCTGTGAGGTGCTTCTTAAATGCAATGTGCCAATCCCGTGTCACGTCGTTGATCCCCTTGAAGAGAACAATGTCCTTGAAAGACTCTTTAGAGCTGCGAACTTTATACCATTTTAAAAAGTGCCCAGCCAAAGGATTGATCACTTATCAAGGTTTTTAAAGTGAGTGGAACCAGAGTTCATGCGCTGTTACGAAGAACGTGTCATAGTCGCATTTATAGGATTAGATTTCCCGAGGTAGAGGAATACAACTTGTTAAAATGTAATTTTTAGTCATTCAAATGAATAAAGGGGTAAGTTTCTAAAGAAACTGTAGTGCTGCGTCGGTGGGAGAGTATAGCAGGTAATTTAGTGTTGACAACTGGGTTGAAAACGTAAATTAGCCACCGTAAAGGGTAAAAAAGCTGACGTTTCGAGCGTTAACCCTTCGTCAGCCCTTCAGTCAGCCCTTTAGCTTTTTTACCCTTTACGGTGGCTAATTTACGTTTTCAACCCAGTTGTTAACACTAAATTACCAGCTTTTAGTCATTCAGTTGCTAGGTTGTGTTCGTTCAAAATCTGGATTCATTGCTAATAGAGATATATGTTAAAATTATAAAAAGATATTGAGAAGCAGCATTTTGGCGCTCTCTGTATTCTTAGGTTCTCTCTTCCCGATCTATATTGTTTTAATTTCGACGGATTTCTCTTTTCTATAACTTTACGGATTGCTTTAACGTAGTGGGCACTATAATGAGATCCTAGTATGAGCTTAATTGAACTATAACTGCACCTAACCACGAGGAGGAAACGTCTGTGTGTAATAAAATGTAAGGGGGAAACTTCACCTTGATGTTTGTAACGCAGACAAACAAGTCTAATATAACAATTGTCTTCACTAAGCAGCCTTCAATAGCGTAGAAAAATGTAGCCTATACGTAACTTTTTAACTGTTCCTGGGTGTAATTGTGAATATTTAAGAGGTTGCATGAGGCTTACTCAAGTCCTCAACGACTACAGGGGTGGCATGGTTCGAGGTGACATTAATTCAAACGCTACTCAGTAGATTTTAACTGATTTAATGGCAGATCAAAGTGCGTTAGCCTTAGTACCAGTACAAACAATAGTAGTAGCTGTAGATTAAGTTGTAGGTTTGAACTGAAATATGATAATTAAAAACAGAATCTAACCTAAGCTAAGGCGGAAAAGAAACGATAGACCATCAAGAGACAATTAATTTTATAGAAAAATAATAAAACTAGCAAACTCCTAGGGTGAAATGAATAGACACAATAATTCTTGTGTCGTGTAAGTTATTATCAAGCGAAAGTAAAAACAAAAGTATAGTACAATTTGTGTAAAATGAAACCGAGAAAAAGAAATGATATCACTACAGGGACTGATGAAGAGGGAGGATTTCAATTTTTTGCTTAACTGGTACCACTCTTTTTTCAAAATCAATGTCACTTTCATGTACATTGATTTCAAAAGTTTTGCTCTGTAAGCTCTGTGATGTATGCAATAAAGACAGTCCTACAATAAATGTCTTGTAAGTAGACACAGAAGCTGTTACCAACACATGCTCCATCGAAAATGTCCCCCCCAAGCAAATGACCATATGGCACAGTCAACTAGTGACATCTTAGCCCTTCACACACTAACATCAGTATTTATATTCTCCATACTGTTCTCTGTACATTTACTAAGGTGCTGACAAGGAGAATTTGTCCAACAATCAAGAGTTTCTGTGGTTAGTGATCATTTCCTTTATTCTCACAACCTTAATGTGTGATACGGTGGTGATATTGTAAGAAGAAATTAAATGCTAGTCACTCATGGATTTAAGGTTTAAATTTTCATGTGACTATAGCATAAGCTGGCAATAGCTTCCCTCTTTGTTTATCATGCAGTCTAAATGACTTGAACTTCTGCATCTGAGGCATCACAAAATCTTGCACACATGGGTCTTGGATGTGTGTCCAGTATGACTACTTGGGTAGCAGTGCAAAGTTTGGATGCATTACAATATTCTGATAATCTACTCCAATAATCCTTCACTTTCCCTTTATTTGCAAAACAATAATAAAACACTTCATTTGTACTGTTTGACATTTATTTTTCAGTTCTAGAATATTTTTAGATTGAACCATACTGATTAAAAATTTTTGTTATCTTAGAATTGGCACTCATCAATCAGAAGCCACATGAAACATTCTTAAACATTCTTCACCAATATAGTGCACCACCTGGTCAATTTTGCTCCCTATAAAAAATATCCAATTGCTGCTCTGACTCTTATTTTGAAACATATTGCTTATGTTTTCTTACTATCTTCACATACATACAGTCACTAAGAACAGCTCAAAAATGTCTCCCATGGCCTCAACAGTTGGTGGTTTTAAGCAGGCAAATCCCATCAAAAACCCCATCCATTACCATGAATAGTATGACATAAATATCTTGATAAATGGATGGTTCTTGTACATACATTATTCAACACAATGGTAATGAGAATACCCAAACTCATCAGGTAAAAGATATTACCTTGATTGAAAACCATATTTTCCTGACCAATTCAAACGGAAATGTGTAGCAGCTGGAGGGGAGAATTAACAATCAGATCTTGGGAGTTAAAGGGTTAAACAAAAAAATCAGAGGGCTGTTTGGAAGAAAACTCAAACAGATACTAAGATCAGCAAAACGAGACGCTGGAAAGGATGGGAGGGAAGAAAAATAGCTTTTAAGAATGCAAGTGCAGTTTATGTACATGTGCTAGCAAGCTGACCAACTGAATGTCAGTTACCTGTCACAACTGTAGATTCAGGGCATTGATCAGCAGTTACGAGAAAACTTCAAATATTTGTAGAATAACTGCCAATATTTGCTTTTATTTTTGCGTCCTATACTGTGGCCTCACAATAAGGCACCCCAACCTCATGTGCCCTTACATCATCTCTACCTTTGAGGTCTCTGCAGAATAAAATTAAGGTACATCATGCAACCAAGGCAATGTGGGGAGGTAAGTTTTAGCACTCTTGCTTTGAAGCAGTCATATTGTAAACCAAGAGTTGAAACGGAGGTTAATGATATTCAAGTACACAAATCTTAACCTTGACTCTTAAAGAATTTGAAAGTTTCTCTTTTGTGATTCTTGGAAGTACTTTAAACATCGATGTAAGAACTCAAAAAGATAATCAGGACCAAATTGAAAATCATACATTGCAGTGTATGTTGTTATGCAAACACAAATATAACAAAGGCAATAAATACAATTTGAAAGAATTAGAAAGGGAAGTAATTGAGAAACATGAAAATTACACTACTTTCTGAAAAGGAATTATACATAAATAAATCAATTCTTCTTTTCTCCAGCTTGATCCTTCTCTTAGTCTTTTGTATTCTTCTTGTCTGCATCCTTTCTAATATGGTTAGCAAACATGATGTGAGTGAAATGTCTCTTATTTCATAATAAATAAATGATCCTAGACCAATATATAAATAACCATATAATCCATAGCTCTCTTCTGGGTAAATATCAATCCCATACACCCCAGAATCTGTATACACATTCTGCATACAAGTCTCCTTACATTTCCTATGGCACTGAATGGGAGAATTTGTCTGATGATCTATAGATTCTTTGGTTGGTTATCAGTTCTTTTCTCCCTATCACCTTAATTCTTGATTCAGAAGTGACACTTAAAGGAGAAAAGTTAAATATCAGTAATAATTACCTCAAACTTTTTTTTCACTTTTTTGTTTTTCTTCTTTTATTTACTCTTCGTTATTAACATTTTATTGCCAACACCTTGAATCTAAATATTTTTTAATGATTATACTTTTTTAGTTATTCTGAGTAACCTTTTCGTATCCCTGTCCTACCATCATATTAATTAGTAAATATTTTCTTCTGTTGCTCCAAGAGGTCGATTTGGAATAAAAGACATGGGTCCAGTAAAAAAATTAGGTGTTGTAGTTGAGGAAGTGTATGAAATTGAACATGGTTTAGCTGTTTTGCCCAAGATGATGATATACTTTGATGGTTACCTTGTTTTCAAGCTTAAATGCAGAAGGGAATCAGAACCTGGATATATTTTTGCATAGTAAATATAAAAATTAAAATACGACCAAGAAAGGAATTGTATGTTAAAATTCACATGTTATGTTAATTGTTAGTATATATCACACAGGTGAATAGTGCAATTTTGGTATATGAACAGAAATGATTTTTCTTTTTTTGGTTTCTGTATGGTACATACGAAAACAATTATTCACCTACGTATCAGTGAAAGTGGCGGATTTTTACCTCCTCTTCGGTGAGTAGTTGTTAAATAAAATGTATTATATATATAAGCATTATGTTATATTCCCACTCTTTGGATTTCTCCTGCTTGTCAAGGCCGTCCCTCGGCGATGAAAAACTGCTGAGAGAACCACTAGTGTTATTGAATCAAATCAATACATGTGTTTAAGTTGAAGCGAAGCGGATGGTGTGACTGGTGAAAGCCAAGAGGAAGATCTACTGAAGTGTCAATATCAGACATAGTTTGATGCTACTCTGGTTTACAGATTTAATGGATGTAACCGAAGAAGTTACAATTCATAGACCCAACGTTTCGATACTCCTGTCTAGTGCCTACATCAGGGGTGATCTAAACGCTGCAACAAGAGGTCCTTTTATATGATCACTAATTAGCGGCCTTTTTTCTGACGAGGTGTAAATAGGCGTCAGGAAGCAAACCGCCATCCTCACGATTTAAAGGAGCGTGGGCGGAGTTAATATGCCAAGCCTCCAAACAAAGGCGCTGGTGGTAACGCCGATTAGTGGTGATAATTTTAGTTAGGCATGTATGCTCCGATAAAGCTGAATTTTCCTTTTTGCAAAGGAAACCGCTTTTTGGTGCTCTTTTAACCGTGTACCAAACTGACGTTTGGTCTGTCCGATGTATTCGTTGTCACAGTCATTGCAAGGAATAGAATAAATGGCGTCGGTTCGTTGTTCTTTCGTGACAGGATCCTTAGGTTTGGCGAAAATATGCCCCAAAGTCTGAAAAGGATATGTCGATGATGTTATTTCTGCGGTATCCGGAAATGAAGCGGAGCGACTCTTATCGCATTTGAATTCAGTAGAGACGTCGCGGACAAGCGAGTGGGTTTTGGTTAGGGTCGGGTTGGTTTACGACCCGACCCAAGCCTTCCTCGTTTTTCACTCCTGGCGAGTCGCGCGTGACGCGCCGTTTACTATTTCGTTCCATTTTATAAACTGAACTTCTGAAACAGGCTACTGGTTGAATCAAGAACCAAATAAAAGAAGGTTCTAGCCTGCAGAACAGAGGTGATTTTTTATTTTACTGCGTTTTCCAGGCGTGTAGGGGCAAAAGCGCGTCACGCGCGACTCGCTAAGTCGCGCTAGCCTCGTGCGCTCGTTCTGTAGGGCCTGGTTGGTCAAAACACGAGGTACCTACTACATCCACAGTATACAAGTAAAAGGCTATTTACACTTCTACAAGTGATACATCCATCTCGGTGATAATCTCAACTCGGATTCGTTTCCAGTCGTTTCCCTTGAATTTTTTATTATTTTCCCAAACCAAACTTGTGAGTCGCGCGAAAGTAAATATAGTTTCAACCGATATTTACATCATCCACTACTGCTAAAGAAAGCTTTCTGACTAGTATGCGTGATGGTCACTTTGCAAGTTGGGAGGACATCGTTTCTCGGTTCCAGACCCCTCTCCAAAAAAAAACAAACAGGTAGGTGACACGCGGAAGTGAAGCTGCATAATTGACGAACAAACTCACAGTAAACAAGATGGATCTCCAGAATTTGAAAGTTGCCTGTGCGATTTTGATTTCTCTTCTTATAAGCCAGAATGTTATTGTCTTGGGGTTCAAAGTGATTCAAGACAGTGGCTGTAAAAAAGTTTTGCTACAGGCACCAAATCATATCGTAACTAAAAAGGGCAAACTTCGCAGTACAAAAGTCGCAGTAGGATACGAGGTCTGTGCAGAAATAGGCGATTACACTTATTACTGTCCAGGAGGTGAAATATGTTGCTCGCCCGGAAATCCAAAATCCAAATGCTGTCCGGCAGACCATCCTTTATGCCTACCTGAAGGATGTTGTCCAGAAGGATATCCAAAGGTGTGCGGTCGGTATTGCTGCGAGGAGGACAGCTTCTGCTGCAATGGCGAAAATTGCTGCTCGAGTGAAGAAGCTTGTTGCGGGGAAGACAAATGCTGTACGCAAAAGGCTCCTTGTTGTAAATACGGTGAGTCCAAAGAATGCTGCGACGAGAACCTTCAGGCGTGTTGTGATGGCTATGGATGTGTTGATCCGTGCGCGTCTCAGTTCGACGCTTTCGGATGTCAGTTGGCTGGTCGTTCACTTTCCTCCAATAGCATCTCTGGTGTTTGTAAATTTGGGAGAAAACTTTGGCGAATATTGCGACCTGACGAAGTTCCCAAAGTCGGACTTATAGCAAAAGATCCCCTTGAGTCTAAAAAGGTTAGATCACACGTTAACTGCGGAAGTCGGGAAGGGTACAAATCGCAGTTCATATCAACAACAGCGTCTTACGATGTTGCACTGCATTATAAGGCAGAAGGAGAGAAAAAAGGCTTGACCGGATTACGAATCGCCGAGATTGACCTTGACGATTTGCCTGAGACTTGCAAATTGGAGATAGTGGACTTAACAACTGCGGAAAACCGAGACAAATACTTAGGAAAAGCTGTTTGTAAGAATTTTGCTAAGGCTTCCTGTGAGGTGCTTCTTCAATGCGATATGCCAATCCCATGCCGTGTCGTTGATCCCTGAAGAGAAAACATCTTCGAAAGACTCTGGAGAACTGTGAGAACAATTTTAGCAGTTTTAGTTTGATTTTTTGCAAAAATTCTGCTTTTACTTTCATTCGTAAAAGTTTCTTTAAAAAATTGAACATTGGAGTATCAGAGTGCATTAGGTTAACATCAATTCTTTCAATGCGATCATCTTTTAGTTTTTCCGTCCTTCATGTAAGTGTCTTTCCTTGTCCAATTGTATTTCCTCTGTTGTTTTGCATTTCCTATTCCTTCTACTTCACAATAGCTTGTAATTATTTGTTCCTTTTAGCAACCACAATCAACCGTAATGTAAATAATTTTAAAGTGTTCATGTGCTGAAACCTGACTTTGTTGGCAGTCACAGGAGACATTTAGACATATCTTAGCTGCATGATGTACCTTAATTTTATTCTGCAGAGACATCAAAGGTAGAGATGAGGTAAGGGCACATGTGGTTGGGGTGCCTTACTGTGAGGCCAAAGAGCAGGAAAAAAGGGTGTAGACAAACTTTGGCAATTATTCTACAAACATTTGAAGTTTTCTTGTAACTATTGACCAATGCCCCAAATCTATGGTTGTAACAGATAACTGACATTCAGTTTGTCAGCTTGCTAGCATGTATACATAAACTGCACTTGCATTCATGAAAGCTATTTTTCTTCCCTCCCATCCTTCCTAGAATCTCATTTAGCTGGTCTTAGTATCTGTTCAAGTTTTCTTCCAAACAGTCTTCTGATTTTTTTTTAACTCTTTAACACCCAAGATCTGATTGTTAATTCTCTCCTTTAGCTGCTACTCCTTGTAAATTGGCTGCGAGAATTTGGTGTTCAATCAAGGTAAAATCTTGTACCTGATGAGTTTGAGTATTCTTATTACCTGTGTGCTGAATAATGAATAGATATTATAGGAAGAATTAAGTTAAAGGGTTAATAACATGTTTGAGTATTATTTTATTTTTAGCTTATATATATATATTTCATGTAAGAATTGTGTAGTTGTGAAAATATTAGTAATATCAGTAATCTTTTAATAATGACAGCTTCGGTAATGTGGGGAGGTAAGTTTTAGCACTCTTGCTTTGAAGCAGTCATATTGTAAACAAAGAGTTGAAAACAGAGGGGCTAAACTTCAGAATACCCCGCAACTCTTGTCCGCCTCACTTACATGTGTCGGGAGGCTTCGAAGATCGAGGCATAACACAATAGACGCTATTCTTATTCAATGACATGTAAATGAGTTGCGGGGTATTCTGAAGTTGCTCCAACAGAGGTTATTCATTTTCAAGTACACAAATCTCAGCCTTGACCCTTAAGGAATTTGAAAGTTTCTCTTTTGTGATTCATGGAAGTACTTTAAACATCGACGTAAGAACTCAAAAAGATAATCAGGACCAAATCAAAAATCATACATTGCAGTATGTTTTGTTATGCAAACACAAATATAACAAAGCAATAATTACAATTTGAAAGAATAAGAAAGGAAAGTGGTTGAGAAACATGAAAATTACATTACTTTCTGAATAGGAATTATACATAAATGTAATGGGGCGGACGCTGACATAAATCAAATCAAACTTGAACAACGCCGGAACCTCCTTAAAGTCTATCAATCTCAACTGGTGTATTAATCACTGGAAAGTTCGTAAAAACTGAAATACAATAAATTAAAATAGGCTATTACCATGCAATAAACGCGAATCGAAATGTCCTAAACTCGAACGTGCAGGGCGTGTATGTAGATTAATCAAACAACACAAATATCTTAAGCGCAACAAAACTACCTTCGATTATACACGTTTCGGTTTGTAAATACAAAAGTAAATAAGATGACATACCTCTTTCCCCGCTCTATTATTCTAGTATATCGACAATCCTTCGATCTGGCTATGCTTGCGACTAACATGTGTCTCATGGCCGAATGAAACCTAATGCCGACAGTTCGAGGGTATGTCTCACAAAACAAAACAAAAGGGTATTGAACGTCACGCAAATCATAACCAAAAATAGCCTTCGTTACAATAAATAAATCAATTCCTATTTTCTCCAGCTTGATCCTTCTCTTAGTCTTTGTATTCTTCTTGTCTGCATCCTTTCTAATATGGTTAACAAACACGATGCGAGTGAATTGTCTCTTATTTCATAATAAATAAATGATTCAGAAGTGACACTAAGAGGAGGAAAGTTAAATATCAGTAATAATTACCTCATACTTTTTTTTTCTTCACTTTTTCGTTTTTCTTCTTTCATTTACTCTTCATTATTAACACTTTGTTGCCAACCACCTTGAATCTAAACATTTTATAATGGTTATAGTTTTTTTGTCATTCTGAGTAACCTTTTCCAATCCCTGTCCTACCATCATATTAATTAGTAAATATTTTCTTTTGTTCCTCCAAGAGGTCGATTTGGAATAAAAGACATAGGTCCAGTAAAAAAATTAGGTGTGGCAGTTGAGGAAGGGAATGAAATTGAACATGGTTTAGCTGTTTTGCCCAAGATGATGATATACTTTGATGATTACCTTGTTTTCAAGCTTTAATTGCAGAAGGGAATCAGAAGCTGGATGTATTTTTGCATAGTAAATGTTTAAGTTAAAATACGACTAAGAAAGGAATGTATGTCAAAATTCACATTTATATTAATTTTAGTATATACCACAGGTGAACAGAAATAGGGGACCAGGAGTGTTATTGAATCAAATCAATAACTGTGTTTAAGTCGAAGCGAACCGGATGGTGTGACTGGTGAAAGCCAAGAGGAAGATCTGCTGAAGTGTCAATATGCGCGCGCCATATTTCGATTGTGAAATCAGCTGTTCTCTTGATCTACAAATAAAAACTGCCTCTTTTGTCCGCGGACAAGCGAGTGGGTTTTGGTTAGGGTCGGGTTGGTTTACGACACGACTTAAGCCTTCCTCGTTTTTCACTCTTGGCGAGTCGCGCGTGACGCGCCGTTTACTATTTCGTTCTATTTTATCAACTGAACGTCTGAAACAGGCTACTGGTTGAATCAAGAACCAAAGAAAAGAAGTTTCTAGCCTGCAGAACAGAGGTGATTTTTTATTTTACTGCGTTTTCCAGGCGTGTAGGGGCAAATGCGCGTCACGCGCGACTCGCTAAGCCCGCGCGCTTGCCTCGTGCGCTCGTTCTGTAGGGCCTGGTTGGTCAAAACACGAGGTACCTACTACATCCACAATATACATGTAAAAGGCTATTTACACTTCTTCAAGTGATACATCCATCTCGGTGATAATCTCAACTCAGATTCGTTTCCAGTCGTTTCCCTTGAATTTTTTATTATTTTCCCAAACCAAACTTGTGAGTCGCGCGAAAGTAAATATAGTTTCAACCGATATTTACATCATCCACTACTTCTAAAGAAGAAAACTTAAATGCCGTCATTAAAAGCATCAATCAGCAGTGCGGTATCATCTGCTACAAATATAGTGTGTATAGCATGCTCTGCAGCCTCGCTTCCAGCCTTTTGCCCGGCGCATAGTTGCCTCTAGCCACTAGCATCAATCACATCCCTCTTAACAACATTAATATTGTTTATCACACACTTTCCGATGATTTACCTCATTCATTCATAAGCAACATTCATCCTGTTGATTACACACTTTCCGATGATTCGACTCATGACCTACCTGACTCCCATTGGTGTCACTGCATCTTTTCCTTTATCCACGGCTCGCCACTAGAGGCCACTTTATGGTCATGGGATCGATGTACTGTGTATATCGAGTCTTGGTCATGGTGGCTGTTGCCTCGCTCAGCCTCAAGAATGACTGTTCAGCTACTTGCAGACGAGCATTCTTCTTAATCCATTTGCATCAATGCAACCCTAGAAGGACCGCCAGATCCCTTTGTTCGCCGAGCAGCTTACTGACCATATCGCCGTTGATCTATGAGTACACGGATTATGGAATCTCAGTTGTCATTCATAAGCCCAAAGAGTTTTGTGGCTAGTTTTGCTAGTTGTGGATTGAGATGTTTCTGTTTAATCTACGTCATATGCCTCGTCTTTTAGCGCAATCACACCACCGCCAGACGATTCGCTCAGGAAACGCAACATTGAGTTGATCTGGCCGTAATGCACGAGCTTAGCAAAAACCTTAGATCTGTCAGGGGAGTTCGATCACTTGAGTTTTCTAATACTATCTTGAATAATTCCCCCTGTAACGGCTTATCAATTCTGCCCTATTTCCAGTCCACTATAGGCACTTAGACAACGTATCTTGGTAGTCTTTTGTCTAGGACTTCGGGCTTGGCTTTTGGAGGCTCACCGCCATTAGTACAAGAGCGGCTTTCAGGGGTGCGCGCCTATTTTCCAAGCCGTTATTCTATTCATTAATATGCAACGTGTTACTTAATCGATGGAGTCCCTCCATATTTTCCCATACGGCACAAGAAATACATTCTTTCGCCAGGTTACGATCTCATTGTAACCCCGGTTAAAGAGTTTCTCCTATTTCCCGTGCAAATGATGGAAAACGTAACTTGACCTACGACCATCAAGTTAAACATCATGTAACTGAAATTGATCCAAGTTTCCAGAGTCTAAATCAAAGATTATGCCAACAGACAGTTAGTCCACTGAGGGTATACTTCGGGAAGCGGTGAGAGGAGTTAGGAATTTAGATGGATGGCATGTCTTTGCCGTTCCGTAGAATGGTTAATAGGATAGTTTCAATCTTGTCATACCTGGCGTGAAGTATACGTACATAATTTGCCTAATTTAGCCCTTTACACCCTAACATCAGTATGTATATTCTCCATACTGTTCTCTTCTTATTTCTTAAGGTGCTGACAAGAAGAATTTGTTTAACAATTTGAGAACACATTTAGTTGGTGATCATTTCCTTTATTTTCATAACCTTAATGTTTGATTCAGGGGAGATATTGTAAGGAGAAATTAGATTCTAGTCACTCTAAGAGGTCAAAGGGTCAAAACAAAAGCCTGTGAATCCTCCAAAGCTAGCTTCTTATAAACTCAGAGAGGTAACGCTCTCAGTA